TGTTGACCAGGATGGTCTCGATCTCTTGACCTCGTGATCCACCCGCCTCGGCCTCCCAAAGTGCTGGGATTACAGGCTTGAGCCACCGCGCCCGGCCTGTTCTGTTTTTTTTTCCCCAAGACTGAGTCTTGCTCTGTTGCCCAGGCTGGAGTGCAATGGGATGATCTCAGCTCGCTGCAACCTTTACCTCCTGGGTTCAAGCAATTCTCCCGCCTCAGCCTCCCAAGTAGCTGGGATTCCAGGCATGTACCACCACATCGAGCTAATGTTTTGTACTTTTAGTAGAGACAGAGTTTCACCAAACTGGTCTCAAACTCCTGACCTTGTGATCAGCCCACCTCAGCCTCCCCAAGTGCTGGGATTAGAGGTATGAGCCACTGTGCCCGGCTGCAAAAAGGTTATTTTAAGAAAGACTAACAGGAATATATAGACTAGTAGGGAAAGACTACAGAAGACCAACTATAATTTTGCAATAATCCAGGAGAAAAATTTAGGAAAGCCTGGATTAACATACATGCAATAATGTTGTAGGGAGGAAGATGAATGCAAGAAATATTTAGCAAGAAGTAGCACCAGGATTCAGTAAGTAACTGAATATTTAATCTGATCAAAAGAAAAAAATATAGTCAAGTTTCTAGCATAGAAGAATAATGGAATCCCTAGCAAAATGAAAACAGTTGTGAAACAGCTGGTTAATATTATTGAGAATATGGAAACTAATATTAAATTCTAAGTCAGGGTCTAACCTATGTGCCTCACATAATCTCATTTAATCTTTATAACAACCCTATAAATACTATCATTCCCATTTTATAGATTTAGAAACCAAGTAAGAGTAATTAAATTATTTGCCCAAAGTTACACAGTAAGTGGTAGAGAAGACGTTTGACCTCAACTGGTCTATTTTTCCTTATAATAAGAAGATGACCAGTTTATGTACTGAATCTGTTGAATTTGAACAAACAATTCAAAAAAACAAAATGGCTATAGAGGCCAGATGGTAACACAAACGAGTGAATCAAGTCAGATATAACTGTGGAGCTATGAAAACATCACGAGGAGGCAGTTCTACTTAGTTATGCTTGAATGTTGCCCTATGTGAATTTCAGGCCTAGTATTGCCATATTTTAAGATTTTTCATGAAAAGGTGGAAATCTGGATTTGTATGTAAAAATTTGTGTGAATATCAAACAAATTCAAGTGTTTAAAACTACTATTGTCCAAACTATGGCTTCGAGTTTGCATCTCTGAGCAATAGGCTGTTGGAAAGTCAGAATTCAAGATAAGTGAGAGATCTGGGCTGAAGATGTATGATTAGGGAATCCATAAGCACAGAGAGGATAGCAGATGCTTCCAAAAATAGTATGTGTTAGAATAACCAGTACTTGACATGATTAGTTAAAATAAGGCAAAAATAGATGAGGTAACAAGTTAGTCAGGACTTACAGAAAACTGATAATAGAAGTGGAAAACTAGCAGACTGAAGTGGGTATATTTAAAATTCAGTTTTCAATGAACTAAAAGCTAAATTCCAGATGATTTTTTTTTATTTTTAGATAGGGTCTCACTCTGTTGCCCAGGCTGGAATGCAGTGGCATTATCATGGCTCACTTCACCCTCTACCTCCAGGGATCAAGCAATCCTCCTGCCTCAGCCTCCCAAGTAGCTGGGACTCCAGGCATGTGGGACATAGGCTAAATTTTGTATTTTTTTGTAGAGATGGGCATTCACCACGTTGCCCAGCCTAGTCTCAAACTCCTGAGCTCAAGCTACCTGCCTACTTCGGTCTCCCAAAGAGCTGGAATTGCAGGGATGAGCCACCGCGCCCGGCCAAGCTGGATGTTCTTATAATGAAGACACTTAACATTCAATAATTAAAAATGTTTTATACCAGGCACGGTGGCTCACACCTGTAATCTCAGCACTTTGGGAGGCCAAGGTGGGCAGATGACTTGAAATCAGGAGTTTGAGACCAGTCTGGGCAACATGGTGAAACCCCATCTCTACTAGAAATACAAAGTTAGCTGGGCATGGTGGCACACACTTGTAATCCCAGCTATTCAAGAGGCTGAGACAGGAGAACCACTTGAATTCAGGAGGTGGAAGCTGCAGTGAGCCAAGATCATGCCACTACACTCCAGCCTATGTGACAAAGTGAGACTGTCTCAAAAAAAAGGTTTTTTTAAAGGTTTTACTTAATGTTTTATTTAATCTTTACTAATTGTGAATCCTTCTGCTATGGGCTTTGCAGGGATGATTTCAATTTGAAATCTTTCTATTTTAAGTGAGAGAAAGGTAATTGAAAGATTGTTTTATCAGTATTTTTACTTTTTCTACATTAGGTTACTTACTTCCAGGTCAATATCTCACATAAACTCCTATCTGCAAAGCCCCTAGCAAAAGGGTTCACAATTAGCAAAGATTAAATAAAACATTAAGTAAAACCTTTTTAAATGTTTTTAATTATTGAATTTTAAGTGTCTTAATTATAAGAACATCTGACTTTTAGGGCTAGGTGAATATTCTCTTTGAAGTCTAGAGAGAATAGTTTTTGAATATTACTCTTCCTAGTAAACTCATGTTTTCATTCATTATCAGATAAAGTACCCAGTTATGTAAAAATATCATATATACTAATGCATTTTTGCAAACCTTGAAGCCCTACAGAGATTATAAAGAAATATTATTCTGGTTTTATCATGAAGCTAGAAGGGTCCAAAAAATTACAAAGTGAAACCTCTTGTATTTAAAACAAAACTTGCACCACCACCACCCCCAAAATAGTTTTTTTTTAAAGGAGAATCAATCTTCCAAGTTTTAAAGTTCAAGTAAAATTGATTTACTAGCAATAATTGTAGTAACAGTAAGGTGGGGAATGACGACTTTATGGCAAAGATCTACAGATGTTGGAATTGTGTTAGAAACTTTCGGAGCCACACCACAGCCTTCTATTAACACATTTAAATGTAGTAGGCAAAACCAATTTCCCTGAAAACTGTATTAAGGACCAGGTGCTTTACTACCAAGAGCTGTTTTGACACATCAAACAAAAGTTTGGGTGTTTGAAAATCCTGCCTCTTACTGAACACTTTCTTTAAAAGTCATGCATGTTAAAATTTCCTGCCTTTGACTACATGCTGTATCAAGTACTGTAGGTTAAAATGGAGATGGGGAGGTTTTTGTTGTTTAAGTTTATGGAAATATGACTCCATTTTAGTATAGCTACAATGTCCAAACGATGGAATAAAACCCATCAATACATTATCTGAGAAGTATAAATAGTTCAACTTGCCGGCTTTGAAAAGCCTAATCCTATTTTTTATGGTGGACGTTAAAATGAAAATACACAACTGACAATGTTTAACGTGCACTTACCAAAAAAAAAAAAAAAAGCTAGCAATTTGAAATCCTCCAAACACCCGTGCTCTGCAAACACTTCTTCCAAAGAAGTCTGACACGCAGGGTGTTTTCCTCGGTGACCGCCAGCCGGACATTCCTATGGGAAAAGCTGCTGCTTGTGCGCGGTACAAAGACAATCAATCCCTTCCTTTCATCCCTTTCTCATTCACTCTGCAGGGGGTGGGCCAATAAGGAACTGAATGAAGCTCTCCTTTCGCTTCGGGGCGCAAGTCTTGCCTACTTCCCACTACTCTCCGGGTTCCCTAAGGCTGCCGAAACAGAGGACCTGGAGCCGGGTAGTGTCCGGCGCTGCGTCCGGGGGCGCCAAGGCCTCAACCCGACTGACCTGGCCTGAGGAGAAGCCCAGGACGCAAAGCAAAGCAATGCTCACTCGCCGCGCACGGGGCTCAGGAGAGATAAGGGTGCGTTTTCTTCCCATATTCCCGCTGAGAAAACGAGGTCGGGCGAAAAGGGGCTGGTACAGCTGGAATATGGGATATGGACTCAGGGAACAAAGGGACTGGAGCAAGAAGCAGCAGCCACACCAACGCAGACTCAAAAGGGCTCCCCGGCTTTACGCACGCAGCCCGCATCCCCACAGCGCTCGGCGCCCCTTACGCCACCAGCTCAGCCTCAGAGACTTCGCGAATATGGCTTTGCGCACTGCGGCGGGGCTGCGCCGCAACCGAGCTCGGCCCTGTGGCTCCTCCCCGCAGCCCTTCGCGGATTGGTGGTAGACGGCGACCGGGCCGCTGATTGGGCGGCGAAGGAGCCATTCGGGGCGGCTCTGGTGGGTTCGGCTGCCCCAAGAGTGATAAGTTCGGCTTCAGACACGCCTCAGCGCCAGCAGTGAGCCGGAGCTCTATGGAGGTGGCAGCGGGTACTGGGTGGCGGCTGCAGCAGCGACTCCTCTGAGCTGAGAGTTTCAGGCCGTCCCCGACTCCTTCCTCCCCCTTCCCTCCCCCTTTTTTTGTTTTCCGTTCCCCTTTCCCCTCCCTTCCCTATCCCCGACGACCGGATCCTGGGGAGGCAGCTGCATTAGCAGCTGCTGAGTTCTCGGTGAAGGTGAGTGGAGCTGCCGCCGCCGCCGCTGCCGCCGATTGGAGCGCTCTAAAATGGCCGCCGTCCCTGGCCTCTTCTAGTGTGGTACAAAATGGCGGCCGCAGGCGGAGCCGGGTGGGGCGACCCTTTTTTAGCATTTCCTGTGCGCTTCAGACACCTGGAAAGTCTTTGCCTTTGTTCTCCCTTCCTGTTGCTGACGGAGTAGAAGGAAAACGTCAGTGTTGGCCAGACAGCCGTGCAGTCATGGCCAGGTGGCCCATCCCTGCGGGGCTGAGGCCGTGACGGACCGAGGCACGGGTGTGCTCAGACGGCGAGGGAGCGTGGCTCGGGCCGCGAGCGCCGCGGCAGGAGGCACGCGGGCCGGCAGGGAGGGCCCGGCCGTTGGCGCGGGACCAGCGAACCGCAGGCGTCCCGGAGCCCGGCCTTCCGGCGGGGAGGTGTGTAGGGCTCGGAGTCGGCGGGGCTGCCCTTCGTGGGGGAGGAGAGAGTGAGTGATGGTTTCTGCCCCTTTTGTCAGCCGAGGAGGCCGTGGCGAGGCGGCTGTCAGTCCCGGGGGGATTTATGGGGCAGGAGGGGGCCCGCTTGGAGGCGGCGGGTGGGCAGGAGGCCGCCTTCCTGCCGGGAGAACAAAGAGCCGGGCGCTGGGCCGGCGGGGGCGGCCTCCGCTGCTCCTGACTGCGGAGCGACCCGCGGCCTTACCGAGAGGCTGTCGGAAACACTTCCCTAACTTGCGCCTGGGTGGGAGGAATGCTCTGCTCTTTTGTTCCCAGGAAGGGAAAACGGGGCGGAGGTTCTTGCTGCCATGTTGCGGCCCTGGTCTTCCTCCTGCGAGTGTTAGCCCCGTACACCCGGCCCCCTCTCGCGCGCCTTTCCACGAGCTCCACGGGGAGGAGGCAAAAGGGTGGACGGGGGTAAACTGCTGAACAGCTTTCGGAGAGGTCTTATCCAGTAGCTGGCGTCCCCGTCGAGGCAGTAAAAATTACTAGGGCAGATATTTTCCACGTGATGTTGCCCCTGTCTGTAGTTAGATTTTTCTGTTGATCTCAGTGCTGAGTTGTAGTAAAGGTGGTAGAATGTGTCTTTTCAAAAGATTCGTTTTGAGCAGTTTGAAATGCTCGTGTTTCTACGAAGTCTCTTTGCATTCTTGAACACCGAGGAATTTCCAGGTGGCTAAACAAAACGTAGTTGTCCATTTGTGTTTTGAGTACATTCTAGTTCAGTCTTGCAGATCTGCAGTGCAGTGACACTGCCAGGATCTGAAATATAATTGAGTGAAGGCTTATGGATCTGTAAGTTAGCAGCGTCTAATTTTGGTGCCTTTTCTCCTTCCAGGCATTTGATTTCTCCCGTCCCCTCCCCTCCCCACCCCATCTGTTAATATTATTCTTTTGAAGATTCTTCGTTGTCAAGCCGCCAAAGTGGAGAGTGCGATTGCAGAAGGGGGTGCTTCTCGTTTCAGGTACATCTAGATTTTATTTGAGGGAGTCATTTGGAAAAGGCCAGTCCCAAAACCTAGTTACCACAGCAGATAATTCCAACTTAATGGGCTGCAATTTTCAATTTAAAAGTTGTTAAATTTTCATTGACAGTCTTCTAAGAACTGCCATCTGAAGAATAAATAAAATCTATTTATTTGCTTTTCCTTTGGGCCCAAGTTTAGTCTTCATTTGTAGCATCATAGATAAACACTAAAATATAGGCCTGGCTCCAGTCTGGGCAAAATAGCGAGACCCCCATCTCTACAAGAAAAATAAAACACAAAATAGATTCTTTATTCTTTCTGAGAGAGACATAGTTGGTGTAAACCAAAAATTTGTTTTCTTTTAAATAGTGCTTCTTCGGGCGGAGGAGGAAGTAGGGGTGCACCTCAGCACTATCCCAAGACTGCTGGCAACAGGTGTGGTAAACATGTAAAAAGCAATGAGCTAAAGTCTTTCCCATGTGACAGTATAATTAAGGCAATAGCCATCAAGACTCCTAATCTTAAGGGTCATGGTTTCTTTTGGGTATCCTAAATATAAAATATCAGCTTTTGATTAGAGTCGAGGCTCTCAAACTTACTTTTTCCTTATTCTTTGCGTTATTATTACTGATGTTTTTTCTGACATCAGTAGCTATTATTCCTACTAATTGGTATTAGTAAAGTGATAAACATGCAACATGGTCAATAAGACATTAGAAAGTGTTAATTTGCAGCCTGTACAGTAGCTTACATCTGTAATCCCAACAACAACTTTGGGAGGCAAAGGTGGGAGGATTGCTTGAGCCTAGGAGTTTGAGATAGGCATGGACAGCACAGCAAGACCTTCTATGTTTAAAAAAAATGTTCATATCCAAAATGTGGTTCCTGGATCTGCTGATGTTGAGAATATTTGCTAGACATGCAAATTCTTAGGCTGGACCCGAAACTAGTGAAAGCAGAAACTGGGTGGGCCCAGCAATCTGTTTTAACAAGTCCTTCAGGTGATTCCGATACACACTATTGTTCCAGAACCACTGATCTCCTTAGTTGGCTTTTGGAGGGGAAGTTGAGAAAGCCTAAATTACTTTTTCTATTTAAAAGAATTTATGATGTTTAACATTTGGTGTGTGACAGTGTTTTTGTTAATTTTTATTAATCAGCGAGTTCCTGGGGAAAACCCCAGGGCAAAACGCTCAGAAATGGATTCCTGCACGAAGCACTAGACGAGATGACAACTCCGCAGCAAACAACTCCGCAAACGAAAAAGAACGACATGATGCAATCTTCAGGAAAGTAAGAGGGTAAGTTTCTAGGTCTGTTTTAGTAAAAGATGGGAAGAAGTATTGATTAGCTGTTATTTCTGTGGCGTGTGTGCTTAGAAGGCAAGGTTCATGCCTAAAGTATATGTTTTAATGAATGTTCATAACAGTTTTTCTAAAGTGTCTTGAACTGGCCGGGCGCAGCAGCTCATGGCTGTAATCCCAGCACTTTGGGAGGCCAATGCAGGCAGATCACTTGAGGTTGGGAGTTCTAGACCAGCCTAGCCAACATGGTGAAACCCCATCTCTTCTAAAAATACAAAAATCAGCTGGGTGCAGTTGCAAGCACCTGTAGTCCCAGCTACTTGGGAGGCTGAGGAAAATCACTTGAACCCCAGAGGTGAAGGTTGCAGTGAGCCAAGATCACACTACTGCACTCCACCCTGGGTGACAGAGCAAGACTCTATCTCAAAAAAAAAAATTGAAGAATAACACATCATACTTTGGGGCTTAGAGTTGCTTTCAGCTATTGGATTGCTGTCCATAATCCTGTTGTGCTAGCGTTTCCCTTGGCTAAAGGAAATGGTATGTTATTTAAGCCAGTGAAGCAGGGAATATAATGGTCTTAGCTCATGGTGTAGTCTTGATAATGAGATTTTTGCAGTCTAACTGTGAGAAAAGGATTCTTGTCAAAACAGTTGGGAATCCCTCCACCCCCATCTAGTTCAAATAATTGTAATTAAAATCACAGGTTTATTTCTGCATCCTTTGGTTTTACGTGAGTAAGAAATCATGTCTTGCTTTTAAAGGGAGCAAGTAGAAGAAAAGTCCGTATAATTTAAAGGCAGTTTTTCAATTCATATTTTGTGTGTTAGCTAACGCTTACAATGTAATTCCTTTTTTTCCCCAGCATATTAAATAAGCTTACTCCTGAAAAGTTTGACAAGCTATGCCTTGAGCTCCTCAATGTGGGTGTAGAGTCTAAACTCATCCTTAAAGGGGTCATACTGCTGGTAAGTTTTAAATATTGGCTTAACTCAAAAGGGAGAGGGAACTATTTAACAAACTCAAGTGGTATTTTTTTACATTTGGATTACTGCTTAAAACCCTTGAGGTGTGAGCTAAATAGTTATGTATTTTTGAAATACTGATAGTGATTAAAAAGAACCCTGACATTTAGTAGCATTAGATTTAACAGGTAAATTTTAGGTTTATGCTATCCTTGGATAAATAGGGGTGTTTAGCAGGCTATTCTTTTTCTTTTGTGGAAAACACCGTAGGTCTTGGAAATGCATTGTATGAGAGTTTATGTAAAACTTAGTTTTGATATACATGGCATTTTCTGACTCCCAGGAGATGGATGTGACTAGAATGAGACCTGTAAAACAGGACATTTTTGGTACATTGTAATAGCTAACATTTAGATGGTTACATTTTTCCTAAAGAAAGAGTTCTTTGAAAAAGTTTTCGTATTTAGTTTAAGCAATGACATTTTCTGTAGATTGTGGACAAAGCCCTAGAAGAGCCAAAGTATAGCTCACTGTATGCTCAGCTATGTCTGCGATTGGCAGAAGATGCACCAAACTTTGATGGCCCAGCAGCAGAGGGTCAGCCAGGACAGAAGCAAAGCACCGTAAGTGGTAGTTTTTGTTTGCTTATTTTAAAGTCGACTTCAAAAATTGTCTTAAATGACAAATTTCTTTTTTTTTTTCCAGACATTCAGACGCCTCCTAATTTCCAAATTACAAGATGAATTTGAAAACCGAACTAGAAATGTTGATGGTAAGAATTACAGTTGATACTAAGTAGTACTGTATATTTTCAGCTTAATTCTGAATGTTGGTTTACTTCATTGGTATTTTTTTTCAGTCTATGATAAGCGTGAAAATCCCCTCCTCCCTGAGGAGGAGGAACAGAGAGCCATTGCTAAGATCAAGATGTTGGGAAACATCAAATTCATTGGAGAGCTTGGCAAGCTTGATCTTATTCACGAATCTATCCTTCATAAGTGCATCAAAACAGTAAGTATGATGGGGAAGTTAGGCTTAGGCGAATGTCGTCAATCACTACTACATTGAGTCAGTTATCTAAGAGGGTGGTTGACTAGTTAAATACAGATGGGCAACAACATTTACTAAACATAAATGAGTAATTTGGAAGTATGCGGTGTGTTTGACAAAGTAGGGTTAGAACTGATAAACACAGATCAGTAGAGAGCACTATACTAGATTCACTAGGAACTAAGAATGAGTCATTGCAAACGTAAAGGGAAAGTACTATGCCTAAGTAGAGTAACTGTACAATTTTATCAACATGGCATTTTATTCCTGTAGCTTTTGGAAAAGAAGAAGAGAGTCCAACTCAAAGATATGGGAGAGGATTTGGAGTGCCTCTGTCAGATAATGAGGACAGTGGGACCTAGATTAGACCATGAACGAGCCAAGGTATGTGTGTAGCTGATGGAAGCAGTTACAAGTACTTTGCCTATTTTGTGACATCATAGGGGATTGTCACATTTAGCCATTAACTTGGTTATCATCTAGAAGCCTTAAAAGCTGTAAATTGTGCAGTTTGCTTTAGCTCTTCCAATTAATGTGTTATTCTCTTACCAGTCCTTAATGGATCAGTACTTTGCCCGAATGTGCTCCTTGATGTTAAGTAAGGAATTGCCAGCGAGGATTCGTTTCCTGCTGCAGGTAAGACTGGTTTCTTTAAATGCGTTGGTAAACTGAGTTTTTTGTTTAGGAATATTAAAATTATTTTTCAATTAAAGGATACCGTAGAGTTGCGAGAACACCACTGGGTTCCTCGCAAGGCTTTTCTTGACAATGGACCAAAGACGATCAATCAAATCCGTCAGGATGCAGTAAAAGTAAGATTGGGTTTTCTTTGTTTTCGTTTGTCACATAGACTTTGTGTTTGTAGAGCAGTATGGGATCCCCTCCCCACCCACCCCAAACACTTGAGGAGTCTCTCACATCTTAGTGGTGGAACTTAGTGTTTTTAGTGTCTTGTCTTTTTTAAGACGGAGTCTTGCACTGTCACCTAGGCTGGAGTGCAGCGGTGCAGTCTTGGTTCACTGCAACCTCCGCCTCCCAGTTCAAGCAATTCTCCTGCCTCAGCCTCCCCAGTAGCTGGGACTATGGGCTTGTGCCACCACACCCCACTAATTTTTTTTTGTATTTTTAGTAGAGGTAGGGTTTTACCATGTTGGCCAGGCTGGTCTCGAACTCTTGACCTCAAGAAATCCAAGGAGCTTGGGCCTCCCAAAATGCTAGGATTACAGTTTTGAGTCACTGTGCCTAGCTTTGTCTGCCATTTTTGAAAGACGTTATTTACAGAAATAACATAACTAATGGTTTAATATCTAGGATGTCCTCCCCATTTGGAAGAATTTTAGGTTTAAGTAAAATAGTGTCCAGAGACAAAAAGTGCTTATTCACTTCATTTCTAAAGGATCTAGGAGTGTTCATTCCTGCTCCTATGGCTCAAGGGATGAGAAGTGACTTCTTTCTGGAGGGACCGTTCATGCCACCCAGGATGAAAATGGATAGGGACCCACTTGGAGGGCTTGCTGATATGTTTGGACAAATGCCAGGTAATTTTGAAAAAACAATGGTTTCATTAAGCTAAAAAAAAATCAGTTTTAACTTTTTTGTCAGTTTTGAGAGTTGTCCATATATGTATTTTAAGGTAGCGGAATTGGTACTGGTCCAGGAGTTATCCAGGATAGATTTTCACCCACCATGGGACGTCATCGTTCAAATCAACTCTTTAATGGCCATGGGGGACACATCATGCCTCCCACACAATCGCAGTTTGGAGAGATGGGAGGCAAGTTTATGAAAAGCCAGGTAAGTAAATATTTGAGTGTTTTGTTAAATTCTGCAATATGTGTGATTCCATTTGCTATTAAAACTATTTTAGGGGTGCATGTTTTTTAAACCATATTTATATCTGTAACATTTATTTCAAACTGAAATGCTTATCCTTAAGATCAATAAAGTATTAATAAAATCACATCACTGTATTTGACAGTTAGGTTAGATTTTTATTCTTCCCTGCTTCATCTTTTACTTTCTCTGGGCAAATTCAGTTAAGCTTTCCTTTTGGCTTGGCTCATCCCTTTAGTACTTGATTACCATAATTTGTGGACCCCTTTTTATCTAGACTTTCTTTCTCCTTTTCTGAAATAGGGGCTAAGCCAGCTCTACCATAACCAGAGTCAGGGACTCTTATCCCAGCTGCAAGGACAGTCGAAGGATATGCCACCTCGGTTTTCTAAGAAAGGACAGCTTAATGCAGATGAGGTACATTTGCCTATGTTACTTATATACCATAGTTTGTCAATTCAGAAATTTATTGCCCAATGATTATAAAAAGACGCGTTATAAAGAGGACTTATGCTGGAGTTCTTTACATTTTTCTCTCTTTCCTGTACTACTTTTTCTTTCTTTAAATGTCCAGCGTCCTATGAGCGAAGATTATGAGATATGAGGGCAAGTCTCCTAAAGTCTGTTAGAGCAAGGAAAATGGTTTTCAAGATATTGTGGTTTCCTTCTAAGTAAGGTGGTTTAACAACTAAGAATAAAACGCATTTTCTAAACTGTAGTTAAATTTGCAGTTTTTTATTTGAATATTTTAGTCATGCTAATCCTAAGAGAATTCTCATAAGTGTGAGATTTATAATAGTATCTCACTACTGTATGCATTCAGTCTTTAAATTTTTTGCCAGAAATTAAACCTGCTAACATGAAGGTACCTTCTTGAGTTTTTAAGAAAGCTTATTTCTGCCCTAGATTCTGTCATGTTTGTATAGGATTTTAGGGTGTTAACATTTAATATGTTTGCCAATTGCATGCTGTTAATTTAGGTGTTTTGATTTGTTTTCAATTCCAGATTAGCCTGAGGCCTGCTCAGTCGTTCCTAATGAATAAAAATCAAGTGCCAAAGCTTCAGCCCCAGATAACTATGATTCCTCCTAGTGCACAACCACCACGCACTCAAACACCACCTCTGGGACAGGTATGAACCATAGTATGACAGCATTTTCTATTGTTCCATTATTTTCTAAAGATGGCTGCAGACTTTTTTTCTAAATGAAGTGTGTTCGTCCCTCTAATTTCATGTTCCTTTTTTTAAAAAATGTCTGTCGTTAATTGTTTAGACACCTCAACTTGGTCTCAAAACTAATCCACCACTTATCCAGGAAAAGCCTGCCAAGACCAGCAAAAAGCCACCACCATCAAAGGAAGAACTACTTAAACTAACTGTAAGTTTTAAGTGCCCCATTTTAGTGTAATTAGCCTATATTTGAGATAGGGAAAACATTAAAGACACTTGCATGTGTTCTTCACAGGAAACTGTTGTGACTGAGTATCTGAATAGTGGAAATGCAAATGAGGCTGTCAGTGGTGTAAGAGAAATGAGGGCTCCTAAACACTTTCTTCCTGAGATGTTAAGCAAAGTAATCATCCTGTCACTAGACAGAAGCGATGAAGATAAAGAAAAAGCAAGTTCTTTGATCAGTTTACTCAAACAGGAAGGAATAGCCACAAGTGACAACTTCATGCAGGTAAAACTGGACACCTTACTGATTCTGTGATAAGAACTCTTACCATTCAGATTTGAAAACTAACAGACTGTTGTATATTTCTTCTAAGGCTTTCCTGAATGTATTGGACCAGTGTCCCAAACTGGAGGTTGACATCCCCTTGGTGAAATCATATTTAGCACAGTTTGCAGCTCGTGCCATCATTTCAGAGCTGGTGAGCATTTCAGAACTAGCTCAACCACTGGAAAGTGGCACCCATTTTCCTCTCTTCTTACTTTGTCTTCAGCAATTAGCTAAATTACAAGATCGAGAATGGTTAACAGAACTTTTTCAACAAAGCAAGGTCAATATGCAGAAAATGCTCCCAGGTAAGACAATCCTGACTTGTTTGTTTTGTTTTTATTATATCTAGAGATTTCTAGTACCTTGAGTGGGTTTATGTAGGTTAGACAGTCTGATTGTCCTTCCCAGATAATGGTAAACATCACCACAGATTTCACCACCTTATAAAAATAGATTTATGATTTAACTGCTTTCCTTTGATCAATCTTGTATACTTGAGATATATTTGTGAAGTTCTGCTCTTTGGACAGGACAGCTTGGTAAAATGAACTATTGGATGATGCAAGTGGTTTTGTCTTTTCAGAAATTGATCAGAATAAGGACCGCATGTTGGAGATTTTAGAAGGAAAAGGACTGAGTTTCTTATTCCCACTCCTCAAATTGGAGAAGGAACTGTTGAAGCAAATAAAGTTGGATCCATCCCCTCAAACCATATATAAATGGATTAAAGATAACATCTCTCCCAAACTTCATGTAGATAAAGGATTTGTGAACATCTTAATGACTAGGTAAGATGAATGGTCTTCTAATGTTTCATGTACTAGAAAACAATGTCTACAAAGCGGAAGACTAAGTTGTCTCTTGAGGAAGAAAACTCACTTGAGTTCTAACAAGACCTCTTTGTGTCCAGCTTCTTACAGTACATTTCTAGTGAAGTAAACCCCCCCAGCGATGAAACAGATTCTTCCTCTGCTCCTTCCAAAGAACAGTTAGAGCAGGAAAAACAACTACTACTTTCTTTCAAGCCAGTAATGCAGAAATTTCTTCATGATCATGTTGATCTACAAGTCAGCGCCCTGTATGCTCTTCAGGTGCACTGCTATAACAGCAACTTCCCAAAAGGTAAGAAGACTTATATCAGAAGAACACTGTGGGGCAGTTCTTAAAACAACACACTAAATAATGGGCTTATTCTTTCTATTTTTTTAAAGGCATGTTACTTCGCTTTTTTGTGCACTTCTATGACATGGAAATTATTGAAGAAGAAGCTTTCTTGGCTTGGAAAGAAGATATAACCCAAGAGTTTCCGGGAAAAGGCAAGGCTTTGTTCCAGGTAAGTCTTTTGTTAAAAATTTGGTCTGCTTATTTCAGTTTGTTTGGTATTAACTTAAAATGAAGAGCCTTTGTCAAATGAAATACGGGCAAGATAGTGCTAGTTATTAGTTTGTCTTCACCCATACATTTTATTCTGCACTACTTAAAGCTGTGATTAAGTAAATGAATAGAATAGAATGAATCAATTCTAGTGGTAAGATGTTAGAGGTAGCTAACACATTTTTCAAGGAGGATAGCTATTTATATAGATGGGGGTGACTATGTACAAGTTTTAAGCTAAAAAATGTCAATAAAGAAGAACTTGCAGCTGGGCACGTGGCTCATGCCTGTAACTCCAGCACTTGGAGAGGCTGAGGTAGGAGGATCACTTGAGCTCAGGAGTTGAAGACGAGCCTGGGCAGAATAGTGAAACCTTGTCGCTAAAAAATACAAAAAAGCCAGATGTCATGACATGTTCCTGTGGTTCTGGTGCTACATACTTGGGAGGATTTGTTGAGCCCAGGAGGCAGAGGTTGCAGGATCTGAGATCACATCACTGTAGTCCAACTTGTACAACAGTGAGACTTGTCTCAAAAAAAGAAAATAAAAAGTTTATTAAAAAGGAAGTTGCTTCTGATTTCTCACAATTTGATTTTGTCTTATTGACTGAAGTTGTAGCTCTAGGGGAAGAACATCACATTCCCAGATCACAGTGAGTGCATTAATCACCTGGAGAACAGTTTAAAAGTAGGTTCCAGGCCTGATCCCAGAGATTCTGGTTTAGTAGGTCTGTGATACAAAATCCACGTGATTGTCATACTACTAGTTTTCCAGGAGGCCCAGGCTTTGATTTGAGAAACCTTGGTCCTGTAGCATCTTACTACCTTTTTACTGCTGATTATAAAATAGGTTGATGAGAATCATCCTTGCAGTATTCTGGATAATATACCACTGTTCATATAACTTAATATATATACAAATTATTTGTAAGGATGTCCTTGTTTCATATTCTAAAACTGTAGTACCACCTAAAACTTGGTCTTTGGTTGGATTTCTATTTATATCATGAACTATTTTAAGTTACAAATGTTAATTTACAGGTGAATCAGTGGCTAACCTGGCTAGAAACTGCTGAAGAAGAAGAATCAGAGGAAGAAGCTGACTAAAACCAGCCAAAGCCTTAAATTGTGCAAAACATACTGTTGCTATGATGTAACTGCATTTGACCTAACCACTGCGAAAATTCATTCCGCTGTAATGTTTTCACAATATTTAAAGCAGAAGCACGTCAGGATTTCCTTCTGCATAAGGTTTTTTTTGTAGTGTAATGTCTTAATCATAGTCTACCATCAAATATTTTAGGAGTATCTTTAATGTTTAGATAGTATATTAGCAGCATGCAATAATTACATCATAAGTTCTCAAGCAGAGGCAGTCTATTGCAAGGACCTTCTTTGCTGCCAGTTATCATAGGCTGTTTTAAGTTAGAAACTGAATAGCAACACTGAATACTGTAGAAATGCACTTTGCTCAGTAATACTTGAGTTGTTGCAATATTTGATTATCCATTTGGTTGTTACAGAAAAATTCTTAACTGTAATTGATGGTTGTTGCAGTAATAGTATATTGCCTGTATTTCTACCTCTAGTAATGGGCTTTATGTGCTAGATTTTAATATCCTTGAGCCTGGGCAAGTGCACAAGTCTTTTTAAAAGAAACATGGTTTACTTGCACAAAACTGATCAGTTTTGAGAGATCGTTAATGCCCTTGAAGTGGTTTTTGTGGGTGTGAAACAAATGGTGAGAATTTGAATTGGTCCCTCCTATTATAGTATTGAAATTAAGTCTACTTAATTTATCAAGTCATGTTCATGCCCTGATTTTATATACTTGTATCTATCAATAAACATTGTGATACTTGATGTAGTGATGTGTGGCTGCAAATGGCATCCACAACCTGAAGAATTAATCAGACAGGTCACAAGACTTATGAATTTGGAGAATATTGCTACACATTGCAACTAAAATTTGGTGACATTTATTTCTGTCAGACTGAAATGATCTTTGGACGAACTTAGCTACCTGTGCATGCTCAAATGGGTGATAGCAGAACCAATCAATATTTTTTTGTCCTATTTGGGCCAGGGAAGCTGTTACACATTATGACATTCACCTTCCCTGAAGTTTTAAGTTAATAAGCTTTTGGTGGGTATTTTGAGTACAGCAAAATGAAGGCTAAGCAGATTTGTATGAACCTATTTTAGATTTTTAAGGAGCTGTAAATTATTGCTGACTCTGCCCAACCCTTCCCACCAAGGGGAGGAAATAATTTTTAACCTAGCAAAAGGGGAGTAGATGGTTAGGTAGATCAATTCAGTTACTCATATAGCCAGAATTCCCTCAATTCAGCCAGGGTATCAGGCCACGGGAAGTTTCAGAACGAAGCCCGGTATGCAGTGGTTTGTCTCATTCACAGAATCGTGCTTTAATCTTCCCACCCCATACATGTCAAGAGCTACACAAAATGTGTAATACTGCTTTCTTGTTCCAAAGACACCTAATAAACAGTACACTTTATAACCTACCATACTATGAACAGCAGTACTTGGATATAATTGGGATGTACCTTGCACAATGGCCAATGTTTTTAGTATCAGCGTGTAGTGACTACTCTTCATTCACTTCATAGTGACTTCAAAATAAGACTGTACGTCTTTACTGCTCCAAATTTCTACTGCAAAATTGAAACAGTTGTCCAGTTTTCCCCATTCTCAAGCCTCATTAGGGTTTCACAACCCTGGCTCCCTACACCAAAATTTTGTCAAGGTCACCAATAACTCCAATGCTGTATCCAGTAGGTTTTGACCCTCCTGTAGGCAGCATCTGACATGTTACTCATTCCTTGGAAATGTTAAATTGTTCCCAGGACACCTTTTTCTTTCCACTTTGCTAACTCCTGCTTCTCAGTTTCCAATGGGAGATGTCTGATCCCTTAACACCTTTTCAGTTGTCATACTCTGCATCCAGTCTATCATCAAATCCTGTCGATCGCATTCCAAACATTTTAGAAATTGAACAACTCTCTTCTTCACCCACCCTCATTTCTTACCTAGGTACCACAGTATCCTTAACTGGCCTCCCTGCTTAGTCCTCACCCTCCATTTTGTCTTCTCAGCACAGCACCACTTGGCTCAAAGCCCACCCATTGTGCAAGGTACATCCCAAGTATATCCAAGTACTGCTGTTCATAGTGTGGTAGGTTATAAAGTGTAATGTTTGTTAGGTGTCTTTGGAACAACGAAGCAGTATTATACAGTTTGTGTAGCTCTTGACATGTATGGGGTGGGAAGATTAAATTTTTATGTCAAATTAAGATGGCTTCCCATCTGCTGGGATTTTTATGTCAACATACTTAATTTGGTCTACATGGCCCTACATCTGATTTTCTTATACCTATCCCCATGTTTACCCCATGACCTTTTTCTCTGATCTAATTTGCACTCCTGCTGGCACTTAATCCTGTTCCCACCACACTGGCCTTGCTGCTCCTGGGACATGCCAAGCATCTTGGAGGTTTTATGTTCCTCCTTTCTTTTGGATAACTGGATGACTGGTTTCTCCCCTTCCTCAGGTCTTGGCTCCAATGTGTCTTTTATTAGTAAATAATTCTAATAACCCTATTCCTGCAGATAAGGGGCAGGAAAGAAATGTGTGTGTGTGTGTATAATTTTTAAACCCTAAACACATCCTCATCCCTCTTTGTATTTCCATGTCTTATTACATGACATACTGCATATTTATATCTGATTCCTGCTAGAATGTGAAGAGCATGAAGTATTTGACAGTTTTTTTCACTGTTGTATTCCCAGCACCTAGAACTGCCTAGCACCCAGTAAATCAAATATTTGTTCAACCAAATCATGAATTAATAAAATTACCCTACGTGGCAGGATGTGGACACAGAGGAAGGAAGTAATGGAAAGACCTCAGACCAGATGGATCTAGGGTTCTAGATCTGGGATTCTTCTAGGCTTCTAGATCTAGGGTTCTAGAGTTCTAGATCGATCTAGGGCTAATCTTTACCACTTAGAAGCAGTGAAATCTTAGGTAAGATATTTGAGTCTTGATTATTTTAGAAAATGGGGCTCAGCCTGGGCAACATGGGAAAACCCATGTCTACAAAAAATCGAAAAATTAGGTAGGTGTGATGGTGCACATGTGTAGTCCCAGCTACTCGGGAGGCTGAGGTGGAAGGATCACTTGAGCCCAGAATGTCGAGGCTGTATTGAGCCGTGATCACACCACTGCACTCCAGCCTGGACGACAGAGTGAGCCCCTGTCTTGCGTGAATAAATGAAAACATGCTAACCTGTGTAGTGGTGAGCTCCTGTAGTTCCAGCTACTCTGAATGCTGAGGTGGGAGGATTGCTTGAGCCTAAGAGTAAGGCTGCAATGAACTATAATCACGCCATTGCACTCCAGCATGGCAGACAGCAAGACCCTATCTCAAAAGTGTTTAAAAAAGAAACAGGGCTAATACTCAAAGATTGTCATAACAGCTAAAGAAGCTAATATGTGAAAGTCACTAAGGAGAGCATCCCACAGAGCAGCCCAATAGATATGAATGTCACCTTCCCAGTAGCCTGAGATAACCTTTTTCCCCAGGAGAACTGCTTCCATCCTCTGAACTTCCAAAATCACTGGCTAGATCTAATGGGTATCGCTCAGTCTTATTTGATGAATCAAAAGCATTCACCAGTTGACTTTCCTCTTTCCTACTTTGTTTTTCTCTCAGCTTCTCTTCAGTCTCCTTTAAAAGCCCTCTTTTGTCACTTGGTCCCTGAATGTTGCTGTTCTGCCTCCCTCCTTCAACACTGTCACTCACTCCTGTGGAGCCAATTAACAGCTATGTGCTGATGACATCTATATCTTGAGTCCAAACCCCTTTCCAGAATGTCAAACTCACACATCCAGTCAGCCCCTGGACATTTTATCTGAATGTGCCACAAGCACTTCAAACTCAATATCCATCCCTAAACTTTCCCGCAAACCAACATTCCCTCCCTTTCTAACTAAACCATATTCTTACGCAAACAAAAAACAAGTCATCCTTGGCACCTGCTTCTCCTCAACCAACTCCCACATTGTATCCATTCCTGCATTACAGCTATTGAAACTATTCACTTCTCTCCATGTCTCTCCACTGCCACCACCTTGGTCCCGGCACTGTCATCTCATGCCTGAGTCACTGCAGTAAAAGGGCTCCCTTCCTCTCACCTTGCTTTTGTGGCAGTCCATTCTCTACATTGCATTCCAAGTGAACTTTCTCAAAGTCTGGTTCTTTCTGTGCCCTTGAATGGCTCCCAATTTTCCTCAGAATTAAGTTCAAATTCGTGGCCGGGTGCGGTGGCTCATGCCTGTGATCCCAGCATTTGGGGAGGCTGAGGCAGGAGGATCACTTGAAGCCAGGAGTTCAAGAGCAGCCTGTCTCTACAATGGCAAAACCCTGTTTCTACAAAAAATAATTAGCCAGGTGTGGTAGTGTGCCCTTAGCTCCTCAGGAGGCTGATGTGGGAGGATCACTTGAGCCCAGGAGGCTGAGGCTTTGTCTCAAAACAATTTTCTTTAAGTTTACATGCCTTAATCTAACAGTTATGGTCCTGAGCCCTCAGCTGTTTGCCCCCCTTTACATTTCCCTTCATCTCCTTTTCTCTGGGCCTTTGCACAGGCTATTTCCTCTGCCTGAAACATTGCTGTTCACACCTCTGCATCCCCCTTCATCTAGGTCCTTCTTCAGGTATTAGCATAAATGTCCCACTCTTGAGAAACATGACTTCCTCTGCCAAGACTGAGTTGGGAATTTGTACCAGTCAGTGTCCTTGGTTGCAAAGGAGCGAAATGTAATCTGGACAAACAAGTAGAAAAGAAGTGTTATTGGAACTCCACTTAAGAGACCCACTGGAAGCCCAGAGAACCAGGCTTAGAAATGGACGATGATACGGTTTGGCTGTGTCCCCACCCAAGTCTCATCTTGAATTGCATCTCCCATAATCCCCACTGGCTGGAGCAGTGCTATAACCAGCCCCATTAGATCCTAGAGCTTCCTCTGCCAATATCTCAGTGATGGCAGGTCCAGGTTTGGAGTCCCAAGAAAAGCTCACAGTTGACAGAGCTTGGATCATGCGCCCACTCCTCACTGCCTTGGTTTCCTTTATTGGAGCGAGGATCTGGCATTTTGAGCCTCTGTTGTGTCAAGCAGACCCTGACTCCCACCAAGGGGGAACTGGAACTGTGGAAGGGAATTGAGTGAACAGCCCCCCAAACGATAACTGTCTACTATGAGGGCCCTCTGTAATCCAGTTTCTCCTCTCAACAAGTCCTATACTGCTTGGGCCCACCTGCTTCCTGCCTGTCCTGCCACTGTCCTGAGAAAAGCTCCAGGAAGGGGAGGAGTGTGTCTCTCTTCGTCATCCTTCTATTTCCACATTATGGACCAATAAATAGGTATTGAATGCAATAGTGAATCCAGATTTTGTGGAACCTGAATATTATACATCTATGGGACAGGGGAGCTCTTAAACAAAAAGAATACAAAATTAGGTTCAGGGCCCAGAAAGAGTCCTGTGTAAAAGGGTGGCCTTGAAACAAACTTCATTCACTCCATGGTAACCCTAAGTGAGTTACTATAGTTGACATAATAAATTGTAAACAAACAAAAAACTTGTAACTATTTGTCCCAGTTCACTAGACAGAAACTAAAAACAGGGTAGTTATCAATAAATACATGCTTGTTGAAGCCAGGCATGATGGCTCACCCTTGTAGTGTCAGTGCATTGGGAGGCTAAGGCAGGAGGATCACTTGCACTCAGGAGTTTGAAAACAGTGGGCAACACAGTGAGACCGCATCTCTCAGAAAAAAAAACAAC